ATTGGCCATTTGTTAATTTTCTATCTGTTCGAATCCCTTGCCCACCTTTTTAATTGTGGTGCTTGTTTTTTATTGTAGAGTTGCAAACCTTTTTTTTTTTTTTTTTGAGACAGAATCTCGTTTTGTTGCCCAGGCTAGAGTGAGTGCCGTGGCTTCAGCCTACCTCACAGCAACCTCAATCTCCTGGGCTCAAGCAATCCTCCTGCCTCAGCCTCCTGAGTAGCTGGGACTACAGGCATGCACCACCATGCCCGGCTAATTTTTTCTATATATATTAGTTGGCCAATTAATTTCTTTCTATTTATAGTAGAGACGGGGTCTCGCTCTTGCTCAGGCTGGTTTCAAACTCCTGACCTTGAGCAATCCGCCTGCCTCCACCTCCCAGAGTGCTAGGATTACAGGCGCTTGCGCCCGGCCCAAACTTCTTTATGTATTCTGGATACTAGTTCCTGATCGGATCTCTGGTTTGCAAATATTTTCTCCTCTCCCCTGGGCTGTCTAGAAACAGGACCAGAGATCTATTTCAGCTCCTACGGAATGAGAAATGGATTGAAAGCTGTTTGGAGATTTGGGCTTTGGGGAGAGGCAGAATTTAACTTCCACCTGCAGATTAACCTGTGTAGTTGGGGGCAAAAAAAGCAAGGTTGCCGTGTGAGGGACCCTGGGCATGGGTCAACTAGGTGTTAGGCCGTCCACCTGGCTAAAAGGAGCCCCAGGAAAGGTGCACCGTGAACCCAGGTCCAGCTCCCTCCACCGCCCGCCGGGGAGGCTGCCGGACGCTCTGCACTGGACCCCAGCGCAGCCGCGGCACTCAGCACAGCCACGTCCACCTCCCAGGACCCCCACGCCACACGGCATGTGTCCACGGAGCCCCAGCCTCAGAACCGCTGTCCCCTCTGACTGACATCTGGACCCCACGTGGTGAGGACAGCCACGGCAGGGGTGACCGAGCCTGGCTGGACGCTGGGATTTCCAGCATCAGGTTTCAGTTTCCACAGGCCGTGACCTTGGCGGCCCTGGGGCTGCCCCAGGTTGCCGGGTCCCGGCCGCACCTGCCTTCCTTCCACGAACTGCCGGCCTCTGCCCGAGTCCTGGGACAGCCGAGACCCAGCTGCCAGGCTCACCTGTGGGGCCTTGGACCTTCCCCCACCTGTGTCTCCCACTCGAGAGCACAGATGGGCTCTAAGTGCCCCACGGCACGGAAGGCCACACCCCTGGGGGACAGAATCTCTTCTAGCGAGTTCAGCGAGCACCGTGGACCCTACGGCAGGTCTGAGCACGGGCAGGTGTGATGCCGAGAACAGGGCTGTTCCCACCTGGCCCGGCTCTCGGGGCTGCAGTCTGACAGGGAGTGAGGGTTTCAAGGTTTGGGTCAGGAAACCCTATCAGTAAAAACCTGAGCAGTCCGTGTGGACATAGCTGTACATGCGTGTATAGTACATACATGCAGAGACACTTCCAAGACACTACTGTCAAACATACCATTCCTGGCCAGGCTCAGTGGCTCACGCCTGTAATCCCAACACTCTGGGAGGCTGAGGCAGGCGGATCGCTCAAGGTCAGGAGTTTGAAACCAGCCTGAGCAAGAGCGAGACCCCGTCTCTACTATAAATAGAAAGAAATTAATTGACCAACTAAAAATATACAGAAAAAAATTAGCCGGGCATGGTGGCGCATGCCTGTAGTCCCAGCTACTCGGGAGGCTGAGGCAGGAGGATCGCTTGAACCCAGAAGTTGGAGGTTGCTGTGAGCTAGGCTGACACCACAGCACTCTAGCCGGGCAACAAAGTGAGACTCTGACTCAAAACACACACACACACACACACACACACACACACACACACAAAACAAAAAAACCCATACCAATCCTAAAAAAATACCAAAAATGTCCAGAAACATACACATAAGAAGGACAAAGATACCAACACAGATGAAATTGTAACAGTTTCTCCCCAGATCTGTAACCCCACCTGCAGCTCCTGGGGAGAGCTCCCCACTTGAAACCACTCTCTGGGCATCTGGCAACTCGGATGGGACAAGCTGAGACCTGGTCAACGGCATGTTGTCACCGTCAAGGTCCTAGTGCCAAGGACAGAAAGCAAGGACCTTGGTCACCTGCAGGTCCTGCTCCGGTTCGGGGAGGGGCGGTCCCAGGAGACCTGGGAAGCCTGTTTCCCACCGCAGGGTCACACGGGTTTAATCCCAGACCAGAGCAGTGTGACTGAGGACAGAAGACAGGGAGCAGATGGAGACTGCCACCCTCCCTTCGGGGGGGCTGCTCCTGTGGGGACGGGGCAGAGGCTGAGGTTTTCCTCTGCGGGTCCCACGTGGGTCCAGCCCACGGAGGGTGATTCCGCGAGGTTGGCAAGGACCTCAGGTTTCCCTCCTGGGTAGTTGGTTGTGACGGCACTAGCCGACAAATACCCTCGGTACCCTGACCCGACCCTGGGGGAGCTCTCGGGGGGCGATGGGCAGGTTTCCACAGGAGTGCAAGAGCATCCGGAGCGAGGGTGACCTCAGCCTCCCGCTGGGACTAGGACGTACACCTGCCAGGCTTGGTCGGCGGGTGGAGGGCTCGCAGCTACCCACGCCTGGGAGGGGGAGGAGGAGGAGAGGCTATAAATAGAAACCTCGCCAGGCCAGGAACAGGTGAATGAGCAGAAGGCAGGCCTGCGTCCTCTGACGTCCACACTCTGGGCAGGGCGGTGCCAGGCCGTGACCGCGGGAGAGACATGTGCCTTCTTCCACGCGTGCCCCCACCTGTCCTTCCTCGCCCTCTCACCAAGCAACAGGCAGGCACCCACACGGCACGTCTGACCGGCTGGAAGTGTGGGTAGGGTCCCCGTCCCACCGCTGACTGATGTCTCAGAGCCTCGGTTTTCTCAATCTGCACAGTGAGGATTGTGACACCACCCCGGCCACTCAATGCCCCCCTTGTGGGGGCTGCTGTGACAGGCACAGCCTCCCTGTCTCTGCACAGCCCCCACCTTCCCCACCTGCCCGCAGGTGGCGAGCACTGGGCCCTCAGGCAAAGCCACTGCCGGCCGCGGACATGCCCAGTGGCTATGGAGCTGGGGCTGGTCGGGCGCTGTGCCTGCCTGCCCAGACATGGCCACGCCTGCCCCCCTGGGTTGTGAAACGTAGACACCAGGCACAGCTGCACCCAGCTTTTTGGGCTGGGAGGATCCAACAAGACAAGACAGGAGGCATATGGCCGGCCCAGGCCACCAATGCAGGTGCTGAAGAATGCTCTAGATCTGCCCCTTTATTAAACCACACGCACCCACACGTCTGGACCCTTGCGAACCCCAGAATTCCAGGCTGTGTCCTTGGTCCCAGCCAAAGGAGCTTTCTGGAGGGATGGGGCAAACTCCTGGACTGTCATCCCCAGGGAGGGAGCCCCCGGGGACTTCAGCCTGCCTAGCAAGGCCACTCTCCCAGGTGCCGGCCTGTCCCAGGGCACGGACCCGGTGGTCACCACTGTGGCCGGCCAGATGCGTCAGCTCTGGACTTTCAGGGGCTTGTGCTGGTCAATCCTAAGTGGGCTCTCTCGCAGGACGGCCCCGCGGACGCGCCCACGCGTGCGGCCTGGCGGCCAGCTCGGTGTCCACCGGCCCTGAACTCTGCCCTTTCGTCCACGGGTGGGTGGCCTGGCCCAAAGGGTCAGTGTGTGACTCGGACGGGCGCGCCAAGCAGTCCCGTGGGGAGAACATGCGGCCACGCGCTCCGCGCCCCGCCCTCGCACCTGTCCTGGGCGTGGCGCCCGCGGCCCCGCCCCCGCGGTCCCGCCCCGCCCGCGCCGCGCGCTGATTGGCGGAGGCGGCGCGCTATGCTAATGACCGGCCCCTGCCCGCACCTGCCCCCAGCGCTGCCCGCGGGTGCCGCAGCCGCGACCCGCTCGCCGCTTGCCCGCGCAGACCCGCCCGCCCGGAGAGAACCATGCCACGCTCCTTCCTGGTGAAGACGCACCCCAGCCACAGGGCCCCCGACTATGGGCAGCTGGAGACGCAGAGAGGTAGGGGCTGCCTGGCTCCCGAGTCCCCCGGGGCGGGAGGACACCTGTCGCAGGTGGAACGAGCCAACTGGCCCGCACAGCCGGGGCTGGGGCGCCCCTCCGGGCCAAGTCCGCGGGTCCCACCAAGGCCACAACCTCTTCAGGGGACTCAGCCCGCCTCCGACAGAGGGCGGGGCTCTGTCCCCACTTAGAGAAGTTTCCCCCGGCCCAGTGTCCCTGGAGCTCACCTCTGAGGACCCGCTGCCCTCCTCACCGGGGACTGCAGCCACGGCAAGGGATGGGAGTCAGCTTGGGAGGGTGGCCACCTGGGGCTGCCCAGAGCATCCGGGCTGGGCTGGTGGGCAGGGCAGCCGAGAGGCTGACCCCTGGGTGCTCTCTACCTGCCTTCAGCTGAAGCTCCAAGCCTCCGTCCCCCCTCCCCCCAGAAACCCTCCTGCCCACCCCACCCCCCGCGGGCTTGCCCAGGCAGGCGGGGCGAGGGCTGCTGCTTCCGACTGCCTGCCGGGGAGACAACTGACTGTGCCTGCAGAAGACAGCCTGCCCACGGGTGTCCGGGGCAGTCCCCACCTAGCTCTGCAGCTTCCTGGGACAAGACCCACCACCTGGAGACCTTTACCCATCCCTGCTCAGCACCTGGGGCGGGGGTGGGATCCCACCTGGACCAACACCCGGGGCCCAGGCTGCCACCAGGCACGACCATGATTTCCAAATGCATGTGTTTTTTTGTTTTGGTTTGGTTTTTTTGAGGCAGAGTCTCACTCTGTTACCTGGGCTAGAGTGCCGTGGCATCAGCCTAGCTCACAGCAACCTCCAACTCCTGGGCTCAAGCGATCCTCCTGCCTCAGCCTCTGGAGTAGCTGGGACTACAGGCATGCACCACCATGCCCGGCTAATTTTTTCTATATATTTTTAGTTGTAGAGCTAATTTCTTACTATTTTTTAGTAGAGACGGGGTCTCGCTCTTGCTCAGGCTGGTCTCAAACTACTGAGCTCAAGCGATCCTCCCGCCTCGGCCTCCCAGAGTTCTGGGATTACAGGCGTGAGCCACCTCGCCCGGCTCCAAATGTGTGTTCTGAAACCAATTTAATCACCTTTGGAAACTATCAGAGTGCAGCACTCACAGCGAAGGCCACTTCTGCCGCTGTTACATAGATGTAGATACATAGATGTGAAGCGAAATCGAATTCCCGCAGGTCACAGTTTTAAGTTGAAAAACCATTGTTTAGGGTCCTGTCATCGTGTGCACACCTGGGAGGCTGTGCCCGGTGGGCAGGTGTCCCAGGGCAGCCTTGCCGCTCTCCTCACTGCGGCCCCGGCCGCCTGGCTTTCTGAGAGCCAGATGGCCCTGGTGGCCCGCCTCCCGCCAGGGTGTCACCCCAGGGTGGACCTGAGGTGCCGGGGGATCGGGCTCCCGACTGCCTCCTGAAGGCTCCCCAGGGAACCCTGGAAGACAGAAAGGTGCTTCAAACTCTCCTCTCCTGGGGATCCGGGCTGCAGAATGAATACAAAGCAAGCACAGCACAGAGAGCAAGGGGAGCATTTACAACACTGAAGGGACACGTGGTCCGTGGACCCTGGCGTGGCTCTCTCCCCTGCCACACTCCGTGGCAAAGCCAGGGGTCAGGGACGGGGCTGAGTTTTGCAGAGACTTTATTATTTATTGGCTTTTTTTTTTCTGAGACAGAGTCTCACTCTGTCACCCGGGCTAGAGTGCCGTGGCGTCATGGTGTCGGCCTAGCTCACAGCACCCTCCAACTCCTGGGCTCAAGTGATCCTCCTGCCTCAGCCTCCCAAGTAGCTGGGACTACAGGCATGCGCCACCATGCCCGGCTACTTTGTATATATATTTTTTTAGTTGGCCAATTAATTTCTTTCTATTTTTAGTACAGACGGGGTCTCACTCTTGCTCAGGCTGGTCTCGAACTCCTGACCTTGAGCGATCTGCCTGCCTCGCCCTCCCAGAGTGCTAGGATGACAGGCGTGAGCCACCGCACCTGGCCTCTTACAGAGACTTTAAAAAGGTGACTTCTGCCGTAGAGAGCCCAGACTGGGCGGGGTAGGCTGAGTTACCCAGGGCTGTCTCTCCAGAACTTTCTAGACTTTGTCTCTTAACCTGTGACTGCCACTACTCCTCCACCCCAGAGGTGGACAGGAGCTGATGTGCAGGTTCCATAATTAGCAAACCAGGTGGGAGAAGGCGAGGCCAGGAGAGCGGGGAGGGAGGGGCCTTCCCTGATTTTCCTATTGCTTCACATCCGTACCAGCACTTGCTGTTTTCTGGGTTTCTGGTTTTTGTTTTTAATTCTAGCCACCCCAGTGGGTCTGAAGCGATACCTCATTATGCTCTGATTTGTGTTTGCCTGACGGCTAATGGCGCTGAGCCTCTCTCTGTGCCCATATTGGCCATTTGTTTATTTTCTATCTGTTCGAATCCCTTGCCCACCTTTTTAATTGTGGTGCTTGTTTTTTATTGTAGAGTTGCAAACCTTTTTTTTTTTTTTTTTTTTGAGACAGAATCTCGTTTTGTTGCCCAGGCTAGAGTGAGTGCCGTGGCGTCAGCCTAGCTCACAGCAACCTCAATCTCCTGGGCTCAGCGATCCTCCTGCCTCAGCCTCCTGAGTAGCTGGGACTACAGGCATGCACCACCATGCCCGCTAATTTTTTCTATATATATTAGTTGGCAATAATTTCTTCTATTTATAGTAGAGACGGGGTCTCGCTCTTGCTCAGGCTGGTTTCAAACTCCTGACCTTGAGCAATCCGCCTGCCTCCACCTCCCAGAGTGCTAGGATTACAGGCGCTTGCGCCCGGCCCAAACTTCTTTATGTATTCTGGATACTAGTTCCTGATCGGATCTCTGGTTTGCAAATATTTTCTCCTCTCCCCTGGGCTGTCTAGAAACAGGACCAGAGATCTATTTCAGCTCCTACGGAATGAGAAATGGATTGAAAGCTGTTTGGAGATTTGGGCTTTGGGGAGAGGCAGAATTTAACTTCCACCTGCAGATTAACCTGTGTAGTTGGGGGCGTCACCATTATCCAGAGCAAACGTGGGGTGCTAGCCCACAAACGCCCGAGCCACGGCCCCTAGGGCTATGTCTGATGCCACCTAAGAGAGCAATGGACAGCGAACCCCAAACCCCACAGCTGGGCTGAGTGTGGGCTGCCCAGTGGCCTGGAGGCTTGTGAGCCACCTCGTCATCCAGGAAGGAGACACTGAGGGTGACTGTCAGGTGACTGGAAGCTAATTAGTCCCCAAGGCAGGGGGCCGGCTTCACACACAGCAGCACCTCTCCGCCCAGTGCTGCGTGGGAGCCTGGAGGCTGCTGGCCCCGGGCTGTCACCCCCAATCCGCAGGTGGGGCAGGCTCACAGAAGGCCTGGGGCAGGGCGTGGAGGGCATGTCCCTCTGCCCCACGAGGCCTGTGTCACGTTACTGGACACAAGAGGTCCCCTGAGATGGTGCTCTGTCTTTGTTTTTGGAGAGGAACCCAGATCCACTCTGTAGACCACGGGGTCTTTTTTTTTTTTTTTTTTTGACAGAGTCTCGCTTTGTTGACCCAGGCTAGAGTGAGTGCCGTGGCGTCAGCCTAGCTCACAGCAACCTCAAACTCCTGGGCTCAAGCGATCCTCCTGCCTCAGCCTCCCGAGTAGCTGGGACTACAGGCATGCGCCACCATGCCCGGCTAATTTTTTCTATATATATTAGTTTTCCAATTAATTTCTTTCTACTTATAGCAGAGACGGGGTCTCCCTCTTGCTGGTTTCTAACTCCTGACCTCGAGCAATCCGCCCGCCTCGGCCTCCCAGAGAGCTAGGGTTACAGGCGTGCGCCACCGCGCCGGACCGACCACGGGTTCTTGTTCTAGCTGTGTTGCTCGACTCTTGGCCTCAGCTGTCACTTTCCCACCAGCACCTCTGTCTCCCTGGTGAGACGGGTCTGAACGCGGGTGCCTCCCGGCGCACCTGCCTGCCACAGTGTGTCGCCGGCTGGGAGAGACCCATGAGCGGGAGCTTGAAAACGCAGTGCCGGGGACCTCGTCTCACCCTTACTCTCTCTCCTCTGCCCTTCCAGGAGTCGGAGGTGCCTGTGCTGCCTGCGGGGGGAGGGTGGTGCCCCTCCCCCCGGACAAGGAGGCCCCTCCCGCACCCTGCGAGCTCCCCCGGCCCTGGGACCGCCCGGCCACCGTTGCCCGCGTCTCCCTGCCAGTCCTGCCGCGGCACGAGGGTGCTCTGGGGGCCTCTGGGCCGGCCCCCCTGGAAATCAGCCGGGTGGACCCTCGGGCTGGCCGGGCCCCCAGCGTACCCCTCAAAGACAGCCCGAACCACCTCAACCTGCCCCCGCTGCTGGCGCTGCCCACGCGGTGGCCCCCGCTCCTGGGCCCGGACGGGGACGGGGCTCCCCAGAAACTGCCTGGGGCTGAGCGGACGACACCCCGAGCCCCGGGCGGCTTCGAGTGCTCCGACTGCCGCAGGCCGTACCACACGCCGGCCGGGCTGGCCAGGCACCGGCAGCTGCATTGCCACCTGCAGGCCGGGCGCATCTTCGGCTGCAAGCACTGCGACAAGGAGTACGCCAGCCTGGGCGCCCTCAAGATGCACATCCGCACGCACACGCTGCCCTGCGTGTGCAAGATCTGCGGCAAGGCCTTCTCCAGGCCCTGGCTGCTGCAGGGCCACACCCGGACGCACACAGGTGGGCCAGGGGCCCGGGGCGGGTGGACGGGAGGAGGGGTGACCTGACTGACTAGCTCAGGACGACGTCCACACACGGCCTCTGCTTCCCGGCTCGCCCGTCCCCGGGGGGCTGCTGTACGAAGTCCCACAGACCGGGGGGTCCACACCACAGCAGTCTGTCCTCGCTCAGTCCTGGAGGCCAGGGTCCCAGACGCGGGTGCCGGGAGGCCCTGGCACCTCTGAGCGCTCCCGGGAGGAAGGTCCCTTCCGCCTCTGCCAGCTCCTTTCTCCGTTGACGTCCTCCCGTGGCCATGCCGACCCTCCGGGTCTGTGTCCAAATCCCCTTCCGGTTATAAGGACACCCACGTGAGCCTAATCAAGTTAGGACCCACCCTAATGGCCTCATCTTAACTTGATCGTAGTTGCAGAGACCCTATTTGCAAATAAGGCCATCGTCGCAGGTACGGGGTTAGGGTGTGGACATGTCTCTGTGGGGGGGGGCTGGGCAAAGCACAGGATGTGCAGGGCCCCGGTGACGACTGACTGTCACGTTCCATGGCTTCCAGGACCCCAGAGCAGCAGGTGGGGAGCACAGTGGGCCCCACGGCCTGGCTAAAGATTTGGGGAAATGGGGGGCCCTGCCATGGGAGAGGGGCTGGCAGGCCAAGGGGAACAGGGGACACTGTGGAGGGAGACAAGGAGGACAGAGGAACAAGGGGGGGCAAGGGGCAGGCCATGAGTAAGGGTACCCCACCCCCGACGCCCAGGCTGCCTGGTCACCCCATGGTGCAAAGAGTGGGGACCTGGTGTAGACCCGGCCAGTCTCAGGCCCAGCAGTTGAGGCACTTTGGTAACTGAGGCCCCCCAGTCCCAGCTCAGACTTGGATCTTCTGAGTCACACCCGGGTGGGGGCTGGAGGGGAGGGGTGCGTTTCCCAGGCCCCGGGACCTCTTGTCTGGTTTTCCTCTATGCATTTTTGAGGGTGCCCTGGGAACCCCCACTTTCCCTCTCCAGAGGGACCTGCGCCCACACCCCAGCCCGAGCCCGTCAGGCCTGGTCCTCGCAGCCCAGGAGCATGGGGAGCTGGTGGGAGGCCGGCGGGGCCGGAGGGTGCCCGGTGTCCAGCCAGCAGGGACGCAGGTGCACTCGGGGCTCTGCGGGGCTGTCACCCATCCCTTCACACACGTCAGGGTATTGGGGCCAAGGTCCCAACAGAAGGTCTTTGCTCAAGATCCCCCTTGCCCTGACCAGGTGGCTCCTAAACGCCACGTCCTCGAGGGCTTCAGTTGTCCTTGGCCCGGGCTGTGCTGGCCCAGCCTCACGCCCGCCTGACAGCGGCCTGAGCAGCCGCCAGAGGCCCCCGGGCCTCCCCCATCCAGATCCCAGCAGCCCAGGCTTTTAGGGGCTCTGGCAGAGACAGTGACAGGTCCAGCACGGTGGCCGTCTTTGCCATTGGGAAAGACTGTGATGGTGCTGTCCTGCCCAGGGGTGGCACGCCTCCGGCCCCCAGGCAGCTTGGCTCTGGGCACTTGGGCTGTGCGTGGGCGTTGGCAGGGGGAGGCCGGGGTTGCTCACCGATGTACGGGGCCGCCTTGACCTTCAGGCTGCCTGCCGGGGCCTCGCTCGGGCCTGTCCGGCCCCCACTGGACAGACAGTGACCCGGCCGGCCCTCCTGTGTGGCCCCCGCAGGCGAGAAGCCCTACGCCTGCCCGCACTGCAGCAGGGCCTTCGCCGACCGCTCCAACCTGCGGGCGCACCTGCAGACACACTCGGACACCAAGAAGTACCAGTGCCAGGGCTGCGCCAGGACCTTCTCCCGCATGTCGCTCCTGCTGCGGCACGGCGAGTCCGGCTGCTGCCCCGGCCCCTGAGACGCGGCGTGGCTGGTGCAGGTAGGACGGAGGGGACCTCCCCCCAGGAGCCAGAGGCTAGGGTCCCTGCGTGGCCTGGTGCGCCCAGAGGAGCCGGGGGTCCCGGGATGGACGGGCCCAGCCTCATGCTTGGTGCCTCTCCCCCTCCCGTGTCCTTCAGAACGAGAGAAGTCCCTCGGACCCGTCAGGACGGGGGGCTCGCACGCAGACTCCCGCCCGCTGAGCCGGTTTTGGAGGAGACTCTGCTCAAAACGAGAACGGAGTTCCGTCTCGACCCGGTCTGGTGCCTGGTTCTCTTCTCCTGAGAGTCGGAGACTGCGGCAGGCAGGACGGTCACCGGCGCTGGATGTTCCCTGCCCCCGAGCCGACTCCCGGCCACCTGCCCCATCGCACCTGGAGATGGACACTGCGACGCGTGGGGAGCGTGTCCGTGCGCTCTGTGCCCAGACGCACAACTACCTCTCGGCCAGCCTGCACCTGCCGCGGCGCAGGGTCTGGGACACGCTGTGTCACGCGTGTGTGCTCCCTTCGCTGGACTCCCCCCACCAAGGGACGGGACGGGGAGAGCCGGCAGCCGGGGCATGAGGCCAGGCCGAGCCAGATTCGAGGCTCCCGCAGTGAGAGGACCCCTCCAACCCCCCCCCCCACAGCAGGGCCGAGTTCCCCCAGCCCGGGGTGGGCGCCCTGCCGGCTCCCTGGGAATCGCGTGGGGTGATAAAGCGTCTCCGCGCTCCTGCCTGTCGTGTCCTCTGACGTCCCGAGTCCCGCTCCATCCCGGGGTCTGCGGAGGAGGCCGGACTCTGAGACGCCGCCCAGAGACAGCGGTTCTGGGGTGGTCTGGGACCCCGAGTACAAAGATCTGGCCGGGCCTGGCACCGTGAGAACCCCTTCTGGGGTTGGGGACGCCACAGCCGGCAGGCGAGCCGGGGCCTCTGGGAGGAGCGAGGCTGCGGGGAGCAGCTCAGGACGGGGCGGGGGGCGGGGCACAGCCCACGGGGGCTTGCACAGAGGCAGGGCTGAGACGGCAGGTGGGCCGCACAGCTGGCCGCAGGTGCTGCCTCCCCAGCCCTGGGGAGACAGGATCCGGCGCTCACTCTGCACTGCTGGCTGTCCCCACTGCTGTCCCCAATGCTGTCCCACTGCCATCCCCACTGCCGTCCCCACTGCCGTCCCCAATGCTGTCCCCACTGCCATCCCACTGCCATCCCCACTGCTGTCCCCAATGCTGTCCCACTGCCATCCCCACTGGCATCCCCGCTACTGTCCCCACTGCTGTCCCCACTGCCATCCCACTGCCATCCCCACTGCTGTCCCCAATGCTGTCCCCGCTACTGTCCCACTGGCGTCCCACTGCCGTCCCCAATGCTGTCCCCGCTACTGTCCCACTGCCATCCCCAACTGCCCCCACTGCCACCCACTGCCGTCCCACTTGCCGTCCCCTGCCTCCCCAATGCCTGTCCCCGCTGCGTCCCACTTTGTCACCAATGCGTCCTACTGCCTCCCACTGTTGTCCTGCGTCCCACTGCTCCCCACTGCCGTCGCCACTAGCCGCCATGCCGCATCCCACTGCCGTCCCACTTGCCCGTCCCCACTACCGTCCCACTGCCGTCCCCACTGTCTTCCCCAATTGCGTCCCGCTTTGTCCCCGGTCCTCCCGTGTCCCAATGTCCCCGCTGCCCGCCGCTGCCGTCCCCGCTGCCGTCCCCCTGGCCGTTCCCCCGCTGCCATCCCAGCTCCGCGCGCATCCCCGCTGCCGTCCGCGCCACCTGCTGCCGTCCCCGCTGCCGCGTCCCCACTCCGTCGCCACTGCCGTCCCCACTGCCATCCCCATCTGCCATCCCACCTGCCGTCCCGCGCTGCGTCCCTGCTTGCCGTCCCCACTGTTGTCCCCAATGCCATCCCCACTGCCCGTCCCCATGTTGTCCCCACTGCCGTCCCCACTGTTGTCCCGCTGCCGTCCCTTGTCCCTGCCGTCCCGCCTGCTTGTCCCTGCGCACCGTCTGTCCCCTGCTGCCGTCCCCTGGCTGCTGTTCCCCACTGCTACCCCTGCTGTTGTCCCCACTGCCGTCCCCCCTGTTGTCCCCACTGCCCATCCCCCTGCTGTTCCAGCTGCCTTCCCCGCTGCCGTCGCCACTCTGTCCACTGCCATCCACTGCCATCCCGAGCGCCGTCCCCGCTGCGTCCCCACTGTTGTCCCCAATGTCCATCCACTCCGTCCCCACTGATTGTCCCCATTGCCGTCGCACTGTCTTCCCACTGCCCGTCGCCACTGTTGTCCCCACGCCGCCGCCACTGTTGTCCCCACGCGGTCGCCACTTTGTCCCACTGCCGTCCCCACTGCCGTCCCCACTGCCGTCCCCGCTGTTGTCCCCACTGCCGTCCCCACTGTTGTCCCCACTGCCGTCCCCACTGTTGTCCCCGCTGCCGTCCCCTGCTGTTGTCCCCTGCTGCCGTCCCCTGCTGCTGTCCCCACTGCTATCCCCTGCTGTTGTCCCCACTGCCATCCCCCCTGTTGTCCCCACTGCCATCCCCTGCTGTTGTCCCCTGCTGCTGTCCCCACTGCCTTCCCCGCTGCCGTCCCCTGCTGTTGTCCCCCATTGCTGTCCCCACTGCCTTCCCCGCTGCCGTCCCCTGCTGCCGTCCCCTGCTGCCGTCCCCGCTGCCGTCCCCGCTGCCGTCCCCATGCATCCTTCTCCACGTGCCACAGCACCATGGCCGGAGCGTGCGCAGCCCTGCGACCCATCCACTGAGACGAGCTGCCGCCAGAGCCCCCTTAGCGGCCTGCACTGACCCCCGCCCAGCGTCCTGCCCCTGGTCCCCT